GTGTATATAGTTCGGCTCCTTACATGCTACCAACTCGAGCGGGCTATTCGCCGCTTATTACAAGCATAGCACTGGAACGCCCCAAGGGGGCACAGTGTGAGAGTGTCTCAAGGGGGGGCGTCGTTTCTGAGTGCATTGGGGGGAAGTATCGGGTGGGAGCCCCTTTCCCTATGGGGCCCGCAGATCATGTCAGTAATCCGTGCGGGCCATTGGCCTACTGTAGCAGGCAAGGCACGTGAGCACCCCAAGGGGGCAAGTCGTAAGGATGTCTTGATCGGAGCCTCGCCAATGAGTGAAGTGCGAAGAAGCCTCAGGCGGGACCCCCCTCCTTATAGGGCTCGCAGGTAATGTTTGTAGTCCGAGCGCCTCATTGGCTTCTAGCAGGAGGCATCATCCCAAGGGTGCAAGCCGTAAGGATGTCTCGAGTGGAGGCCCCGTCTGTGAGTGAAGTGCGAGGGAATCTCAAGCGTGAGCTCCGTATGAGGCCCGCAGATCATTTGAGTAGTCCGGGCGGGTCACTGGTCTAGTGTAGCAGGCGTGGCATTTGCGCACCCCAAGGGGGGCAAATCGTGAGGATGTCTCTAGCGGGGGCCTCGTTAGTGCGTAGCGAGGGAGTCTCGAGCGGAGACCCCTTCCCTGGGGCCCGCAGGTGCAACAAGACCCACAGGTCGCACAGTCACCACGGAGCCCCGCGGGACTCAAAGGTCCCACACGGCGCACCTTGGTATCCTCGAATCTTGGCGTCATTACCATCGTTAGTCGTCGGAGACGGTGATGATGATTCAAATCAAGGCGGTACGAATGCGGAGTCCTTCCGTCGGGGTAATTGAATTATCGAAGGCGACTACGGCGAATCACCGCCGCCCCCTGCCTTTTGGAATCGCCCATGTGGCCGAGCGTTGTGGCAAGAGCTCTGCCAAGCTATCGGACCATGTGCTCCTCCAGCCGTTGTGGAATCCCTTCGGGGAACAATTCGGGGCCTTCTCTTTGGCCGTCTTAGGACGTTCATGGCCCGTCAGACGCCGTCGGACGCCGTCTTACGGGGCCCCTCTGGGCCGACTTAGGGCCTTTTCGGGGGCTTCTCTGGACCGACGTATGTAGGGCCCTCTTGGGGGTCTTGGAGGTTTCTTGGGCCGCCTTGGAACCCTCTTGGGGCTGTCTTGGGTACCTCTTGGGCCAGTCTGGGGCCATCTTGGAGGCCTCCTGGGCGATCTTGGGGCGATCGTTGGGAGCTCTTGGGCCGTCTCGGGTCGTCGGAAGGCCGAAAGGAAGCATATTCTAATGTCCGTCAAACACTTTTTTGGAACATCGATGAAATTGGCCTCTTCGGGCCTTCCTGGGGGCCCAGTTGGGGGTTTCTTGGGCCGCCTTGTTGACCTCTTGAGGGCCTCTTGGGCTGTCTTTGGCCATCTTGGAGCCATACTTGGCCGTCTTGCTAGGCTCCTTGCCCGTCGGACGCCGGTGGAAGCCGTCTTGGGGGCCTCTCTGGGCCGACTTCGGGCCCTCTTGGGGTGCTCCAGGGCCGTCTTGGAGGCCATCTTGGGCGTCTTGGAGGCCTCATCGGCCCTCTTGGGGCCCTGTTGGAACTGTCTTGGAGGCCTCTTGGGCCGTTCTGGGGCCATCCTGGAGGCCTCTTGGGCGATCTTGGGGCGATCGTTAGGGGCTCATGGGCCATCTCGGGTCGTCGGAAGGCCGGAAGGAAGCATATTCTAATGTCCGTCAAACACTTTTTTGGAACATCGATGAAATTGGCCTCTTCGGGCCTTCCTGGGGGCCCATTTGGGGGTTTCTTGGGCCGCCTTGTTGACCTCTTGAGGGCCTCTTGGGCTGTCTTGGGCCATCTTGGAGCCATACTTGGCCGTCTGGCTAGGCTCCTGGCCCGTCGGACGCCGGTGGAAGCCGTCTTGGGGGCCTCTCTGGGCCGACTTCGGGCCCTCTTGGGGTGCTCCAGGGCCGTCTTGGAGGCCATCTTGGGCGTCTTGGAGGCCTCATCGGCCCTCTTGGGGCCCTGTTGGAACTGTCTTGGAGGCCTCTTGGGCCGTTCTGGGGCCATCCTGGAGGCCTCTTGGGCGATCTTAGGGGCTCATGGGCCATCTCGGGTCGTCGGACGGCCGACAAGAAGCATATGCCAACATCCGTCAAAAACCGAAGGAGCATCAATCCTGTTGGCCTCTTTGGACCCTCCTGTAGACCCTCGTGGATGCCTCTTGGGCGTCTTGGAGATCTCTTGGGGGCCTCTTGGGCCGTCTTGGCCTTTCTTAGAGCCATCTTTGGCCGTCTTGGTGGCCTCCTGGCCCAACTGACGCCGTCGGAAGTCGTTTGGGGGGCCTCTCTCGGCCGACTTGGGTTCCTCTTCTGGGTCTCTTCAGGGCCATTTTGGAGGCCGCCTTGGGCCCTTTTGGGGCCCTCTTGAGGCCGTCTTGGAGGCCTCTGGGCCGTTCTGGGGCCATCTTGGAGGCCTCTTGAGCGATCTTGGGGCGATTTTTGGGAGCTCTTGTGCCGTCTCGGGCCGTCGGAATGCCGAACAGGAATAAATACCAAATCCATCAACAACCTGTTTAGAAAATCAATCCTGTTGGCCTCTTCGGGCCTCCCTAGAGGACCTCTTGGGGGCCTCTTGGGCCGTCTTAGAGGCCTCTTGGGGGCCTCTTGGCCCGTCAGCCTATTTTGAGGCCATCCTGGGCCGTCTGGGAGGCGTCTTTGGCGGACCTGGAGGCATCCTGGACCTCAGGCCATCTTGGAGACATGTTGGGCCATCTTGGGCGAACTTGGAGGCCACCTTGAGCCATCTCGAAGCCGTCTTGGAGAAGGTAGTGATTCTGTTGCGGCGACTTGTGCGCCTCTCCGCGCATGGCAGGCGGGACGCGCCGCGAAGTTCCAGGGGAGAGTTATTTTCGGAGAGAGAGCCAACAAGAAACCAGTACAGTCGGGGCCCTGAAGAAGGAACTCTTTTCGTTGGGGAGGAGCTCCGTGTTCCTTAATGGTTTCGCAGCCTGCCTTGGATTGTCCTCAGGTTTTCGATAGGAAATCGAAGCTCAACTTATGGAAACTAGGGGCCTCGTTCCTTCTTTAGGGTTCCTTAGGCCAACGCCCCGACTGCAGGGTCCAGGGTTCAGCACGCCGGGCACCCCTTGTGGCAGGACCACATGGGCGCGGCCGCCGCCCCCCTGCCTTCTGGAGTCGCCCGTGTGGCCGAGCGTTGTGGCAAGAGCTCTGCGAGGGAGTCTCGAGCGGAGACCCCTTCCCTGGGGCCCGCAGGTGCAGCAAGACCCACAGGTCGCACAGTCACCACGGAGCCCCGCGGGACTCAAAGGTCCCACACGGCGCACCTTGGTATCCTCGCATCTTGGCGTCATTACCATCGTTAGTCGTCGGAGAGGGTGATGATGATTCAAAGCGAGGCGATACGAATGCGGAGCCCTTCCGTCGGGGTAATTGAATTATCGAAGACGACTACGGCGAATCACCGCCGCCCCTTGCCTTTTGGAATCGCCCATGTGGCCGAGCGTTGTGGCAAGAGCTCTGCCAAGCTATCGGACCATGTGCTCCTCCAGCCGTTGTGGAATCCCTTCGGGGAACATCTGGGGGAAGCTCAGGAGGAGAAGGAGGTGCAGGAGGAGGGGGCATCTCGGGAGCCTCTGGGAACACTCTTGGGGCCTTCTGGGAGCTTCCTGTGAGTCTCTTGGAGGCTTTTTGCGGGCCTCTTGGATGCCTTTGGGGGCTTCTCGGGGGCCTCTTTGGCAGTCTTGTTGGGCTCCTGGCCCGTCTGACGCCGTCGGTAACAGTCTTGGGGGCCTCTCTGGGCCGACTCTTGGGGCCCTCTTAGGATGCTCCAGGGCCGTCTTGGAGGCCATCTTGGGCGTCTTGGAGGCCTCTTGGGCCGTCTTGGGGCCCTCTTGGGGCCGTCTTGGGGGCCTCTTGGGCCGTTCTGGGGCCGTCCTGGAATCTCTTCAGCCGCTTCGGGCCGAACAGAAGCAAATGCCCAAATCTTTCAACAACCCAAGGACAATCAATGGTTTTGGCCTCTTCCGGCCTTCCTGGAGGCCCTCTTGGAGGCCTCTTGGGCCGGAAGCGCCTCCTGCCGCCTCGGTTGCATCTTCGTGCGCCGCAGCTGTACCTTCATCGCCATCCCGTGTGCGCCACTTCTTCTTGTTCTTCTTCTTTTGTTTAAGACTACTACTAGTATTATCGTTCGTATTATTATGTTTATTCTTGTTGATACCATTCGTATATTATTATTATTTCTCATGCGATCCTCGACCTGCTTGCAGAGCTCATCCGCTCGTGACAGCCATCCTCGGATCTCATCAGCCTCATGACCCGAGATGACCTCTATGGCCGCTGCCGGCTCCATTTCAATCTTGATCCTGATATCTTTCTCGGCCTGCTCGGACTCGCCGGTGCCAGCGAAGACGGACCCATCCCATGATAAGTCGAAGACATGCTTCCCATCTTCGGCCTTGTCACGGCCATCTGGCAAAACGCGTTCCGCTCGAGCCAATGTGTGATCTGCCGTCTGCTTAGCTGGTGCTTATGTAGCCCGGACGGCCGCCGCCCTCTACCCCTTCTGCTCGGCGAAGGCGAGGGACTCACGAAGGCGGCCCACCGATCGTACGACTTGACCGTTTGGTCTCCGAATCGCGCGAGGCAGCGTCTGCCTTGCGCACCTCCTCTGCTGCTGTGTACTGCACCTCTGGACTCTCCTGCTCCTCCAGGTTGGCCAGCTCCGCCTGGAGGACGGCCTTGACGGTGGCATCCTCGGTGGCGTTGATAGCCTTCGCCAGGTGGTCATTGGTTGAACCAGGGGAGTCCTGTCTCTTCAGGATCGGCTTGCGTGCACCAGCTTGTACCGCAGTGGGAACGGCAACGAGTGGAAAGAGGACGAGAAGGAGAAACTGAGGATGGAGGGAGGAAAGGGGATGAGGAGGCGAAGAAAGGGGGATGGTGGATGGAGGCACCCTTGAGTGCAGGGCCCCCCCAGCAACCCGCAAGCGGCCGAGGCGCTCGCGAAGTCCACGGAGGTCTTCCTCAACGTCCACAACCCCCTCCTGCGCGTAGTGTGGTGAGCCCCCGTTACGTAGGCGAGAGAGACGCTGCGGGAGGAAAACGGAGAGGGGGAGACACACCTCACTCAATTCTTATTCTTTGTCCTTTTCTTCCGCCTCCTCCTCCACCCCTGTTCCTTGCAACGGATTCCCTCCCGTCCCACCCCTAGACGTGTCGCGCGGGACACCGATTTTTTTCGACCTTGAAATTTGACATGTGCGACCGCTTCACGGATTGTTGGTGGGTGATTTTAAACATGTGGATGCCGCTTCAGCGTCCTGCACATTTGATTTACAACTTTGCAACTTCCGTACTGATGGAGGGCGGCAGCTCCAAAGATGGAGGGCAACTCCTTCAATGCATGGCTATCGTCCCAGTGCCGCGCAGATTTCGATGACAGTTTGCAACAGTTTCGAGGGGCCGTATGGCTGAATTCCCATGAACCGTGTCCTGGCTGGTGCAGGGCTGTCAGAATGCAACCGTCACGTGGCTTCGCTGCGTTGCAAGCCGGGGACTGTTGTTCTGGCACGATTAAGTGTTGTCACGACGCAGCGGTCCCGCTGCTTCGCGGCGACGAAGTCCCAACAATGATTGTTTGGAGAGAGCGGGGGATTCTTGGGTGGCGGTTTTGGGGGGCCGACGCGCGGCACGATTGACTTCCGAGGTGCGCGTTGCAGCGCTGTTGGGGGTGAGAAGGAGGGCCTGGTAGATCGAGAGAGAGAGAGAGAGCGGGAGAGACAGAGGGAGGGAGGGTCGAAGAGAGAGAAATAGAGAGAGAGAGAAAGAGATATAACAGATATATATATATAGAGAGAGAGAGAGAGAAAGCCAGAGAGCGAGAGAGAGAGAGAGAGAACACAGCGCGGGATCGGTGCGGTAGGGGGGAGGGGAGAGGGGGGGAGCGGGAGAGGGAGGAAACGGCGAAAGGCCAGAACGCCCCTTCTACCGCCCGCGGCGCCGCCTGGGGGGGGAGCAAAAAAAACATTATCGGCCAGACCCCCTCCCTGGCATTTTTTTCTCCCCCCCCAGAAGCGCTCGAGGGCCGCCGCTCCGAGGCCGCCGGTGCTGGCTTCGAGGGCCGGCCCCGCCGCCGCCGCTTCCGATGCCCCCTGGTGCCCCTTAGGCGCCCGGATCCTCCTCCCCCCTTTGCCTGCCCCTTGCGTTCTTTTTTCTGTTCGTCCACGGCGGCGCGCTGGCGGCGGCCCTGAAAGCGATTGTTTCAGATTGGTGGCTCCTGTGGAATAACCCCGGTACGATGCCCTGTAAATTGTGGTGATGCTCCACTGCTGATGCGATGGTCCAGTGCTATTGGGCGAGGCATTGCTTGGCATTCGTTGGTCATGCTTGGAGCTGCTTGCAAACGAGTGCTCCTGCTTGGCCTTGGTTGGTTGTGCTTGGCGTTACTTGGTTGCGTTTGGCATTGACTGGTCGTGGTCGGCTTTACTTCGCACTGGCTACTCGTGCGTGGCATTTCTCAGCATTGCGCGCTTGCGCGTGGCGTTGACTGGTCGACCTTGGCAATGCCTGGCATGGCTTGGTGGCGCGCGCCATTGAACAATCGCGCTTGGCATTGCGTGGCATTGGTTGGTCATGCTTGGCGTTGATTGGTCGCGCATGGCATTGAATGGGCGTGCTTGGTATTGGTTGGTCATGTTTGGCGGTGCTTGGCTATGTGTGCCCCCGCTCTTGCCATTGCCTGGTACGTGTAGGACATGCTTGGCATTGGATGGTCGTGCTTGGCATTGGTTGGTCGTGCTAGGCGTTGTTTGGAATGGTTTGGTGATTCATGGGCCTGCTTGGCATTAGTTTGAGGTTGTCAGCGTTGGTTGGTCGTGCTTGGCATTGCCTTGAATTGGTGGGTCGTGGTTGGCGGTGCTAGGCAATGGGTTGTCCTGTTTTTGCCATTGCCTTGCGTCTTTAGGCGCTGGTTGGCATTGGATAGTCTTTACATGGCGAAGGAACCGTAATTGAATATCCATCACTGGGGAATCCTGGCTCAGGAACCTTTACTCAGAAACCATGGGGAATGTTCTAAAATGACACAAATCTCATCCTTTGCAAGGAATCTCCTCGAAGTTAGCGAGGAATCTCCATGGGGGAATCCGCGTGGGAAATCGTTGCTGAGGACACCTTGATAAGGAATCTGGTGTAAGGAATCCTTCGTCGGGAGTTTTGCGGGGGCCGCAACCAGGAATCGCGATTAAGGGGTCCTTTGCATCGAATAGTTGAGGAGGAGCTGGTCGCGAGCAAACTTCGCGAAGGAATCCGTAGACGGGAAGATTTACGAAGGGGAAGTCTATCAGAAATATGCGCGAGAGACGATTTACAAAGAATCCTGTGCAAAAAGGCGCCATGCAGAAGAATCGTAACTCCGGAACCATTACCAAAGAATCCGTAGGAATTCGCACAAATGGATGCTCATTAAAGAATCGCGATCAAGGGATACGCATTTAAGCAACCTGCATCAGGAGACCGGCATCAAGAAACCTGCGCTTGAGGATATGTGTGACGGAATCTTTCGCAATAGCTATGCGCTAAGATCTGCATTCAGGGATCTTCATTGAGGAATCCTTATTGGGGCTTCCTCACGACGGAATCATCGCCCAGGAATCCCCACCCAGGAATCTTTTGTCTGGGCACTTTATCAATAAGACAATGTGATGGAAGCCTCGCTGAGGGGCCCTTGGAATCTGCGTTGGAATCCTTCTTCAGGAATCTAGATTCCGGAACGTCCATGCGTAAACCCAGAGGAATCTTCGGCGAGGAACGCGCGTTGGAGGTCCCGCGCTATAAGGGATCATCACTGAGGAGTCCTCACGGAGGAGCTCTCCTTCGCAAGGAATCTGCCGCAAGGAACATGTGCGAAGGAATCTGTATGAAGGAATATGCATGAAGGAGTCCTTCATGAGATATCTGTGTTAAGGAACCCGTAGTGAGGAATGTTGGTTAAGGAATCTTTGCAAAGGAATCCCCAGTGAAGAATCATTACCAAGGAATCTAAATTCATGAAACTCGATTAACGCGCCCTCATTGCACAATCTTAACCAAGCAACTCTGGCGAAAGACTCGTGGTTCATGAATATGTTCGAAAGAATCTGCATCATGGAATCCCGATTGCGGACCGCTTATTCAGCAAACTTTACTGAGGACTTCTGATTAAGAAATCCCTCCGGAGGAATACATAAGGAAATCCAAGGAGATGGCGGACGCTGCGCGCAGGCCTTGCCGACCCCGACGGAGACGGCGGACGCCGCGCGCGGGCCCCGCCGACCTCTGCAGCCCCGACGGGTCTCGAATTGCCATCAGGATATTGCCAACAATGCGCCAGGCGCCGCGGCGAAAACACCGCGTTTGAAGATGCGCGGCGCCGAGGCGAGAGCGCGAAATGCCGCCGCGGCGCGGGCCCCAGGCCGCCGCCCCGGCACCCCCCGCCCACTGTTTGGCACGCTTGGAGATTCGCAGTCGACCGCCCTCCCATGGGGCATTTCCCGCGATGGAAATCGCGCATTATAGGGGCGCATGAAATCTGAACTTGGATGGGGGCGTTTATCACAACATCGTTGATGCGCATTGGGTTTGCACCTTCCCCCCCCCCGGCCCCCGGGCAGGGAAGTGGGCGCGAAGCGCGGGGGGGGGGCGGGAGGGCGCGCGGGGAGAGGGGGGGGGGGGCAGGAGGAAGAGGAGGAAAAGGAGGAGGAGAAGGCGGAGGAGGATGGGGGCGGGAAACAAATGGGGTTTCGATGCGGATCGCATCGGTCAAGCCAGCGCATCGGCCCAGCTTCGATTTGCCACGCGCGCTCGGTGCCGCGGACGGCTTGCAGGCCCCGAAAACAGACGTTGAGTGTGAAAGGCTGGCGCGCGCAATTCGGGATGGCGCCGCCAGCGCCGCGGGCGCTCGACCGCGGCGTCAGAAAACTCGCGCGCGCCACTCCTTGAGCGCTTCGGCCGAAAGCGCGGCCAAGGCCAAAGCGTCGCAGACGCCTGCCCCGCATCCGTCGCCGGGGCAGCTCGTCGACGTCTCGAGGCGCCTGCAACCCCAGCGGCGGGGGGGGCTGGCCGTCAGAATCGCTGAGCAATATGTTTTTTCCAGAGCACAGAGCGCCGCGGTCAGGCGCGACCCCGCAGGCTGCGCTGCCCGACGCGATGCTCTCCGATATTAGACAGGCCGGTGATGAAAATGGCGCAAAGGCGCATTCGGGCCAGAATAGACGCGGCCACTCGCAGCGCCCAAGCGTTGAGAGATAGGATCAGGAGGGGCACTTTCGGGCAACCCCAGAGATCGGACACGCGCGGCGACGCGGCACCAGCTCAGAGGGGGGCACCCGCCAGCCTGGAACTCAGGAAGGCAGGGGCGAAGCAGGTGCAAGGGCAAGCGTTTGGGAGATTCGCGCGGGCCACCGCGGCCGCGACCTCAGCGGGGCCGCGGGTGGATGTTCAGCTCGGGCACGGGCGAAACCCATCATTCTTTCAAGGCCTGGCAAGTTTGTAGTCTTGCGGGCGTGTCCGGGGCCCGCGTTCGCCGGCGCGGTCGCGCCCGGCTTCAGCGAGGCCCTCCCGCTGCCCTGGCCCCGCGTCGCGGAGCCAGACTCGGGGGTGGCGGTGGGGCTTTGCAGTGAAGTCGGCGAGGAGACGGCCAAATTCGAAACGGGCGTCGGATAGTCCGAGTCGAGCGCTGCTGCGGGCACTGTCAATTCACGATGTGTCGGCGCTGCTGGAGGTAGGGGAACAGAGGGCGCCAGTTGTCGGGCGATGGGCGCTTCGTTGCTGGAGAGGCAGGCCAGAGTTTTGTATGTTTATTTCGCGGAAGGCCATCACTGCGTTTTCAGAGATCACAAGACTGGGGGCCAATGCAGGATCGATTGCATGGCGGCCGGCGAAACAGACGGCGACGGGGCACCCGGCCCCTGGGGCACAGGACACTGAGGCGGGAGAGACCCCCGTGGATCACTGCCCCATTCTGCGCAGCATGGGGCGGCAGGCGCCGGGAAGCGCCCCCCGAAAATAACCCGTTGAGGCTCGATGTCAAACATTGAACGATCATGGGTAAGACAGAGTTTAGACGCAGGCAGGAGGTAGCCGCGTTAGTTTCTTCGGATGGGGGACCCGATGCGCGCTCGAGGTCGCGGAGCTTTCGCGCGAGAGCGCGGAGAGACATATCCAACGAGGAAGCGCGCGACCGAGGCAGCTGTTGATGTCTGAGTTCCCGCTCCGCCTTTGCAGAGCGGGGAGGGCCGCCGAGCAGGTCGCATCTTTGGCGGCGTCGCGAGAGCGCGACCGACCAGGCGAAGTTGTTTTCGAGTGATCAGAGGGCGAGGGGGGGATCTCGATCCGGCTGGGAACCGGGGGCGAAGGGCCCCAAGAGCGAACGGACATGGGAGGGAGGGCTCGCGGGATAGGTTCGGCAGAGAGCGATTGACTGTGCTTGGCGAAGGATTGCCATTTGGGAGTTTGTTCTGCGCCCAGGTGTTTTTCTTTTGCCTCGCGTTGCTCTCACCCCTGCGAGTCTCTACGGGGGGCGATTTTTCCGTGTTCCTCGAGGGGGAAGGGCGTTGCATAAATCTGGCTTGTGACCATTTGTGCATGGGGGAGAATGGAAGAAGGTCCAGACCACGCAGTTCTTTGGCGGCAAGAAGATTGAGATCGGGGGGGCGCACCCCCCCCCCCCCCCTCCCCCGCGCGCGAGCCCCCAGGGCGAGGTGCTCGCGACGCCTGGGCAAATTGCGTTGGATTGTAACGGCACATCTGAGCCGCGTCAAGTTTGCGACCCCTGTCGGCGGGGGCCTGCCGACGGCTGTGACTTGCAAAGGTTGCCCCGAAGGCCTCCGCGGTGCTTCTTCGCCCGCTGCCCGCCGCAATCGGCGTCGCGCGAAGGGGGCCCGTCGCTTGAAAGAACGCCGCCCTCATCCTGCATTTTGGAGCGACAATGGACAACTGGTGCGCGGTTAGCCAGCTCTCGATTACTTCGCGCAACACCATGCCCAAGCTATCGCACCTGCGCCCGCGCAGGTTGATCGGCGCACTAATCGGAGGGGCGTTCGAAGGATCGTAATGCGGAGGTCGTGCGGGTCTGTGCACTTACGTTTCGTTTCATTCTGCGTTGGCCGAGCGTGTTGTGCGGCGCACACCTTGGATCTCCAGGCGCGTCTGTTCCGCGGATCGCAAGTCAGCATGTCGCGCGGCGCAGAGACAGTCATCGCTTTGCCATGCGAACGAGAAGATGTTGGAGCTGTCATGCGCCGTGTGACTTCGCACGCCGCATTGCCATAATGCCGCGCAACAGTTGGCCCGGGCAGGAATGCTGGATCACGTCGTCGAAGATGATTACTTGAGACATGTAGTCGCTGAATATCAGACACATGGCGTCTGGGAGGGGAGGGGGGCCGAAGGCCTACGGGTGCCGGCGACAGGATCGACGCCTGCAACCGCCATGGCTACCAAATGTTGCGACGCGGCCGCAACGTCCGCGGCGCGCGGGGCCCAGGGGGCCCATTCAATATTTCAGCGCCGACATGGCGGTCTGCGACGCGCGCCGGCAACGCGGGGCAGGGCAGCTTTGTTCCGTGTCTGGTGGGGAAAGGGGCTGGGCCAGTCCCGAGAACAGCGCGGGCGCGGGGTGGCATCGCCTTGGAGACCCGGGGGCCCAGGGCGCGTTTCTGTCAGACGAGCGCAATAATCACTAGTCGCTGATCGAGCGGGAATTATTGCGTCGCCCCCAGAAGTTCCCCGTTCCCAGAACCGCCGCCTCCGGGCATGAGACGCGCCAGTGCGTGGCTGCGCATGCGTGCCCCGGCCTCCGAGTCAATGGCGCCGCGTGGCGCCGCCTCCCGGATTGGTTTAGCAAGATGTTCCAAATTGCGCGCAAGTGCGAGTTTTTCGCGCGGCGCTTGGCTTGCCATCGGCCGGCGCCGGCGCTGGGGCATTCGCTCGCGCGAACAGGTGTCGCGTTGAGCAGAGAGGCCGCGGGCGCCGATGGCCATGCGAGCTGCAGACTTAGGCAGTCGCTGAGACTGCTGAGGCGAGATCCTGCATTGTTGCGCGCCGCGGTCGAGCATCTGGTCGAATCGCAGAAGGGGCGGCCGCTGGCGCTGCAGGATAATTTCAGTTGGAATATACAGCGCGCGAGGACGCGCGGGACACCCAATCGAGGGTAGTTCCGAAGGCTTGGTGCACGCGGCTACAGTTCCCCCGGACAGGTTGGACAGGCTGTTTCTAGGGCGAGCGGAGATGTGAAGGGTCGGGCTGCTCAGAGGAGGCCCGGAGGCGACATTCAGAAGGCCCCCCCCCCCCGGGCTTCAAGAGATTGTGACCCCTGGCCCCGTGGATAAATATATTTGCCCCGAGTCTGGTTTCTGCGCTGACAACTAGGACATTCTTCGCATGCGCGTCGGAAGAACGCGCGCGAGCAGGCCACCCAACCGCGCGTTGGGTCCGCGGGGCCGCGCGCCAGCGCTGCATGCACCACCCTGCGAGGCACGATAGACGAGTGGCGCACCTTGCGAGAGTGGCCAGATGTGCTTGCTAGCGGAGGGCCGCTGGGAGGATCGGCAATGACGAGGACATGGAGGAGCGGAGGAATCAGCGTCGCGGAGAGAAGCTGGTTCAAGATATGGCGGCATGATCATGCCAGCAGCGAACCTGCTTGCAATGTGCATGGCCGTTCCGTCTGCACAGGTCTGGAGCCCTTCAGCTGGACAGTGCGCAGTTTAGTCGTGCATCGCTGTTGGGGGCTTGCGGGGGAGAAAGAAGCATCCATGGAGGTGGAAGCTAGTTCGAATGCCCTCCTTGTGTCCCTGGACCCTTCTCCCCCGGTCGTGCTTGTCTTTGAGTATGGGCGAAGGGAAGAAGAGGGCCTTCGTGTGATCGTGGTTCGAGCGCCGGTGCCCGCGCGCCGCCGATGTCCCCACTTGCGCGCGACCTGGGCGGTAGGTTCGCTCCGGGCTGGGAATGGAGGTTCGTTGAAGGGAAATGATGTGGTCGGCGCCGACATTGCAGGAGTCAGAGGGGAGTGCTCGCCCCGCAGAACTCCATGCGATCAGTGAACTTTGATACGAGATCGGCCACAAGTGTTCCTGACTGGGCGAGTGCAGTCCTGGTTCCGTCCGACGGCTAGTCGAAGTCGCGGTGTCAGGTGTTTGGGGAAGGGGATTCATGTTGGGATTCAGTTCTTGGTGTCTGCGTCTCATCTGTTACGCCGTTGCCTTCCTTGCCCCTTTGCGTGGATTTGTTCCCCATGGGCGAGGGCAGGCAGCTTGTGGATATCTTCAGGTAGCGAGCGGCGAGGGAGGGGGGGAGAGGGCGAGGGAGGAAAGAGGGGGGGGGGGGGAGGAAGAGGAGGAAAAGGCAAAGTGAGCAGGGAGGGGCAGGTTTGGGCGCCCGCGCCGCGTCTGACATCAGACCCCTCCCCCTCTGCCCCTTGCCATGGGGGTTGGTCCTCTAGCACTCGCAGCGTCGATTGCCAAAGAGGCAAATAAGCTTGAAAGGGCAACGTTGTCCAATAGGGCCCCAGCGGCCCGCGCAAAGGATGGGCGGGGCAGGGGGGGGGGGGGGGGGGGGCGGAGGGCAAATGGGCGGGGCGCGAGAGGAAGCGGATGGCAACGGGGCGGAGAGGGCGAACGATGGAGCAGGGGCGCTGCCGGACGCGGCAGGACGTCGGACAGAGGGAGGCGACGAGGACAACCACCGCGTTTCTTACATGTGGCAAGCGTTGAATCGGGAGCTACGCGCCTGCTGTGCAAGAGTACGATCAGCGCGTTGCGGCGAGAACACTGTTCCGTTGAATGGAAATGCCATGGAAATTTTGAAACGTTGCAAACTCCTCAGCGGGAGCACCAGTCTTGCTGATGCCAGACAACGTCCACCGATACGGCGATATCGACGTTCTGCTGGGCGAAAGCACCATGGGAATCTTCAGATGCTGCCAAAGTTGCAGCAAGAGCTCGATTGATATGGGCCGGGAACGCTCCGATTCGAATGCGTAAGTTTGGAAACCGCACGTTGGGAACCATGTGTTTTAGGAAGGCCCAGATGCTGGATCGGGGGCGGCAAGTAAAGACTTCGCCAGGGGAAAGAGGAAGGCAGCATTCATGTCAAGATTGGTGCGTTCGCGCCATATCTTACGCCGTGCCATATGCACCGCCCCCCCCCCCCCCCCCCCCATCCCTTACCATGGGGCTGAGCCCCTTCCAATTGCAGCGTCGAGTGTCGAAGAAGACATGGACCCTGTAAAGGCCACGTTGTCGCGAAACGTGGCAAGCGCTGAAGTAGGAGCGTGACTTTGGCCGGCGAAGCAGGAGCGGCGGCGGGGGCGCCGGTCCGCGGGCCAGACGCTCTTTTTGGAAATCTGCGAATTTGGGAAACGTTGCAGCGGGAACACCAGTTTGCTGACGCTAGAGCGCGGACAGCGTTGCTCGATTTGTGCGAGTCATCCTTGCGCAGGGGCCATGATATTGTTTTCGGCGTCGCTTTGATTTTTACGGGTGATCCCCGAAGGGGGTCACCCATTATCCCAGGGGCGTTTCAGCAGGGCGCGCCGCTGTCATTCAGCGAGCTTCCAGCGCTCGCCCGTTGGAGTTGCCTTTGAAGTCAATCTTGATGAACTATATGATGTGTTTGTTGTCGTTTGTTCCGCCGCTCACTGCCGCCTCCTTCGGGTTTTCCCCCCCATTCTTCCTCCCGGCGCTGCTCTGCGACATCCGCCTGAATACCCAGGGCGCCCGAAAATTGGCCAGGGGAATTTCGGCCACTTCCGCGGGCCCGCATGTCTAGCTTTGGGCACCGGGGGTTTGTCCGCCCGGTTTCCCGCCCCTCCTCCTTCCCCCGCTCAGTAAGCGCCCCTGCTCAGTAAGCATCCTGGCTCAGCATCTTGACTCGAGCATCCTGGCACAGTAATTATGCATCCCGGCTCACATCCGATACCTTTATTCCAGTTCCCCTCACATCCGAGCGTCGCCCTATAATTTGTTTCTCTCTTATCTGCTCAGTGCGCTGGGACAGTTGGCGCCTGGAACGCACCTGGGCGCAGAGAGGGTTGCTCCCAATACACGGGTGGAGACGCGCGCCACTGCGTCTCCAGCGGGCCACGAGGCCAAGCGGCCCTGCTTAAAGAGCCCGTTGAGCAGCCCACTCGATGAGATGGGAGGGGCCACGAACGAGCCTCAGGCCAGCGGAGGTGCTCGTCAATTCTTTGTTCGATGACCCTCGCACGCCGCCCGGCGCTTACCGCACCCGTCGCGATTGACGGCGTCGCAAAGTTCCTGAACGACACCCTAGACGAGAAGTTGAGTGCACAATTTGCCCCGTTGTTGTTTGAAACTATGGCCTCTCGAGGCGAAGTGCGGCATGGGAATGCAAAACATCGAAGCACACAAAAAGTTTAACGACATGCATCAGAAGTTCAGCAATCACGTTGCCAGCATCAGAGAGGATAGTGTTCCGTTGCGAGGGGCTCCTGGCTCCTTTCCTTGGGCGTCCGCTCAGACCGCGCCCTGGCAGCGTCAAGTACAACAGTATTCATTGGGGGTTTGACCAAGTTTGCTGATGAGGACGTGGCCAGGGAAAGGTTGAGACATCAGTTTTGCATCGCGTACATCAACGAGCCACTGGATATATACATGAAAGGAACATCGATTTTTTAAAGACCAGTCGGTTGCAAAACATACCATTCGGGCGGAGGCCGATTCCATCGCAAAGAAGGTCAAAGAGGCCAGCCTGGAGCTCGATGGCGAGAAGGCATGCACCAAGTTGGACCCCTGCCAGCGCGCGTGTTCTCCGGAGCGCCATGTGCACCGGCAAGGATCGATGTTCTCATTGACGGCGGATAGGTCAAAACAGTTTTTCCCCACATGCTTCGTGGGGTTCTGGTTTTCCCCCCTGCCGCGCCGCACCCGCGACGCACGCACACACGCACACATGCACCTCACTCTTCTCAGCACACAGCACAGCACAGCACAGCACAGCTCAGCTCAGCACAGCACAGCACAGCTCGTGTCAGCTCAGCACAGCACAGCTCGGCTCAGCTCAGCACAGCTCAGCACAGCCCAGCACGGCTCAGCTCAGCACAGCACAGCACAGCTCGTGGCACTTTCTCGACACCACAGGGGGTGCGCAGGGGTGCAAAGGCTAGCATGCGTAGCACTTTCTCGACACCACAGGGGGTGCGCAGGGGGTGGTCCCTGAGCGCGGCCGCTATCCGCGCCAGTCGTCCAGGCATAGCAGGCGTTGCACTTTCTCGACACCATAAGGGGTTGCGCAGGGGGTGGTCCCTGAGCGCGGCCGCTATCCGTGCCAGTCGTCCAGGCATAGCAGGCGTGGTACTTACTCGAAACTATATGGGGTGCGCAGGGGGTGGTCCCTGAGCGCGGCCGCTATCCGTGCCAGTCGTCCAGGCATAGCAGGCGTGGCACTTTCTAGACACCATAGGGGGTGCGCAGGGGGTGGTCCCTGAGCGCGGCCGCTATCCGTGCCAGTCGTCCAGGCATAGCAGGCGTGGCACTTTCTCGACACCATAGGGGGTGCGCAGGGGGTGGTCCCTGAGCGCGGCCGCTATCCGTGCCAGTCGTCCAGGCATAGCAGGCGTGGCACTTTCTCGACACCATAGGGGGTGCGCAGGGGGTGGTCCCTGAGCGCGGCCGCTATCCGTGCCAGTCGTCCAGGCATAGCAGGCGTGGCACTTTCTCGACACCATAGGGGGTGCGCAGGGGGTGGTCCCTGAGCGCGGCCGCTATCCGTGCCAGTCGTCCAGGCATAGCAGGCGTGGCACTTTCTCGACACCATAGGGGGTGCGCAGGGGGTGGTCCCTGAGCGCGGCCGCTATCCGTGCCAGTCGTCCAGGCATAGCAGGCGTGGCACTTTCTCGACACCATAGGGGGTGCGCAGGGGGTGGTCCCTGAGCGCGGCCGCTATCCGTGCCAGTCGTCCAGGCATAGCAGGCGTGGCACTTTCTCGACACCATAGGGGGTGCGCAGGGGGTGGTCCCTGAGCGCGGCCGCTATCCGTGCCAGTCGTCCAGGCATAGCAGGCGTGGCACTTTCTCGACACCATAGGGGGTGCGCAGGGGGTGGTCCCTGAGCGCGGCCGCTATCCGTGCCAGTCGTCCAGGCATAGCAGGCGTGGCACTTTCTCGACACCATAGGGGGTGCGCAGGGGGTGGTCCCTGAGCGCGGCCGCTATCCGTGCCAGTCGTCCAGGCATAGCAGGCGTGGCACTTTCTCGACACCATAGGGGGTGCGCAGGGGGTGGTCCATGAGCGCGGCCGCTATCCGTTCCAGTCGCCCAGGCAGGCCTCTGCGCAGGGTGTGGTCCCTGAGCGCGGCCGCTATCCGCGCCAGTCGTCCAGGCATAGCAGGCGTGGCACATTCTCGACACCATAGGGGGTGCGCAGGGGGTGGTCCCTGAGCGCGGCCGCTATCCGTGCCAGTCGTCCAGGCATAGCAGGCGTGGCACTTTCTAGACACAGTAGGGGGTGCGCAGGTGTGGCCCCCGAGCGCGGCCGCTATCCGTGCCAGTCGTCCAGGCATAGCAGGCGTGGCACTTTCTCGACACCATAGGGGGTGCGCAGGGGGTGGTCCCTGAGCGCGGCCGCTATCCGTGCCAGTCGTCCAGGCATAGCAGGCGTGGCACTTTCTCGACACCATAGGGGGTGCGCAGGGGGTGGTCCCTGAGCGCGGCCGCTATCCGTGCCAGTCGTCCAGGCATAGCAGGCGTGGCACTTTCTCGACACCATAGGGGGTGCGCAGGGGGTGGTCCCTGAGCGCGGCCGCTATCCGTGCCAGTCGTCCAGGCATAGCAGGCGTGGCACTTTCTCGACACCATAGGGGGTGCGCAGGGGGTGGTCCCTGAGCGCGGCCGCTATCCGTGCCAGTCGTCCAGGCATAGCAGGCGTGGCACTTTCTCGACACCATAGGGGTGCGCAGGGGGTGGTCCCTGAGCGCGGCCGCTAGTGCTATCGGACGCATATAGCAGGCGTGGCACTGAGGGGGTGCGCCCCTGAGCGCGGCCGCTATCCGTGCCAGTCGTCCAGGCATAGCAGGCGTGGCACTTTCTCGACACCACATGGGGTGCGCAGGGGGTGGTCCCTGAGCGCGGCCGCTATCCGTGCCAGTCGTCCAGGCATAGCAGGCGTGGCACTTTCTCGACACCATAGGGGGTGCGCAGGGTGTGGTCCCTGAGCGCGGCCGCTATCCGTGCCAGTCGTCCACGCATAGCAGGCGTGGCACTTTCTCGACACAGTAGGGGGGGCGCAGGGGGTAGCCCCCGAGCGCGGCCCTTATCCGTGCCAGTCGTCCAGGCATAGCAGGCGCGGCACTTTCTCGACACCATAGGGGGTGCACAGGGGGTGGTCCCTGAGCGCGGCCGCTATCCGTGCCAGTCGTCCAGGCATAGCAGGCGTGGCACTTTCTCGACACCATAGGGGGTGCGCAGGGGGTGGTCCCTGAGCGCGGCCGCTGGCTGGCTCGAATCTGTCCTTGATGGAGGATAGAAGGCTAGGAAGAGGGAGGAGGTTCAAGCAATACGCTGTTGGATGACACAGAGGGGAACATTCGCGACGAGGGCTGAGAACGCAGAATTGCGCACATATTATAAACTTAAGCAAGCACATAAGAATTAAATTGAGTATGTGGGGTTCCTCGGTAGCGTAATTACCGAG